AAAAATAAAACCCGAACAGTGCTAGGTGTGAAATGGGTGGCTGCTGTTGACGTTTAGACAAAATTCTTAAATCCGAATAAATTCTGTCGATTTGATGTTGAATTTTCTTTCCTCCCATTATCAAACATTAAAACAACGACAGCACAATGCAAATGTTTTCACACCATAATGAAGAATTAAATGATTTTTGCTGATAGGGTAACGAGGAAAATAAAAGGAAAAGGGAAAATGAGTCCACACACTTCACATGCAAAAGAAGATTAACTTTTCATATTGACTGGGTGTTTGGTGGTGATTATAATTAGATTTGTAGTAGATTGTGATAGATGTTTTTGAAATGTGTGGTTGAAAAGATGTGGGACCCATAAAAGATGTGATTAATATTGATTGTTTGATTTTGATTTAGATTAAAATCAAATTTTAATCCGAACCAAACAGGGGCTAAGAATAGAAAATGGAGTTGAAATCTGCAATTCAGTTTTTGCCGTCCACCTAATTAATTATTGACACATCATTTTTAAATTAATATATCACATCAAATTTACTCTCATTAACTTCACCCACTAATCCACAAAATTGATGACATGTTAATTTAAAAAAAAGTGTCAATAATTGAATGAGTGAACAGTAAAAATTGGATAACAAATCTTAACTCCAAAAGAGCAAAGGGTGCTGAGTTGGAAAGATAAAAAAGTGTGAGAAATTTGGAAAGATTTCCCTAAACCTATGAAAAGTGTGGGACCAATATCTGAATTCATCTAAAGTGTAAATGATGGAAGAATAAGAAAACCAATAATTGGTTGGTGAGAATTTGAGTAATAAGATGGTAAAGAGAAGAGGGCAATACACCTAATTTGAAAAAGGTTTTTGAATGAATTGGTTAAAACAAATAAAGCCACTTGGTTTTTGTATCCTTACGGTCATGGCATCAATAGTAGAATATAATAAAAAAAGTTGGAGATAGTGATAGTGGTAAAGATTTGTAGAAATTTTAATAATTAATTTTAATTATATATTTTATAAAATTCACAACTTTTCAAAAACATATTATATCAAATTTTATCAACATTTATTAAAAACTTAATTTTAATCCTCATAATACATGGGCTAAAACAAAAGCGGGTAATAGATAGTAGACATATAGCAAGAAATAAATAAATAAATAATAAAGTTGTTTGTATAGATGAAAATTACAAAAAGCATTACAGATGATGATGTGACGATATTGCATTGACTGATTTAAATTTGTATTGTGTCCAATATTCCAATGAATGTTTCTGTACATGTAATGTTTCTTGTAAATAAAACTATCCATCCATCTTGCTTGTGCTGAACTCATTCAACATTACTAATATTTCATCTATCCTTGTGACGTATGCGTGTAAGGTGGAAAATCTTAAGATTAGTTCTATGTAGGTGGCAGGGGACCCATTGACCATTGTACCCTTCATTCTTTATAAAATCACAAGTCTAGATGAACCTTGAGAGAGAGAGAAACACACACCCTGCTAGTCAACGCATGGATTATTGAGTGCTTTTGGAGGTTACCAAGGGAGGGAGAATTGGACAGTGTTTTTGTTATATCCTGTACAGTCCCCTTGCTATCTATTCATATTATTTTTATTCAACACATAATGCTTATTCAAATTTCAAACAATATTGGGTTTAATGATTACAGCATGACTTTCTGATCAATAATAGGTGGATCAATAATGCTACATGTACAAAGTCCCTTTACAAAATGACGTGTACGGCTAGGATGTAAACCTGGCGGACGGTTGAGATTTGAGAACAATAAAAAATGGACAAATTTGAAATATGAAATCCAACTCTCTCTCTCTCTCCCTCTCCCTCCCATTAATTTCTCTCAAAATTTCCCTAAATTCCCGGTTCTCTCTCTCTATCCGTAAATCGATTTTCCCAAATCGGAAGACAGGCTCCAGCAGGCGCTCAGCGCCGGTCTCAGCACGTCCGGCGTCTCCCACCTCCGGCGTCACTTCGTCGTTTTCGTGGCCTAGCCGTACCCTTCTTTTCTGGGCACTTCAAAACAAGCAAAATCAACGGCAAACTCATCTCTTGTCGGACGGGTTCCTGCAAAAATTAGAGCCAGAGACAGTGTAGAGGTATGATTTATTGATCTTTATTACTACCTACACTGATTTATTTTTAGGGAAATATTGTGAAATGCAAATTGGGATTTAAAATTTTTGAAAAGTCCTTGAATTTTACTTGCATCTTTTCACCATTGTTATGTTTGATACTAAACAACAGGTTGGGGAAATGAAATTCTTGTCGAGTTTGAATTTGGTTGGGGGTTCGTCACTCTGTGTTAGAATCTTGAGGAATACGTGTTAAAAGGCACTTTGGACGAGTTTGAATTTGGTTTGGGGCTTTTGTCCTCTCATTCTTTGTCGTAGCACATTTTCTTTCCTCTGTATATAGAACATTTTTCCTCTACGTTTTTTCAATTAAGTTTACGTTTATGTGCAGCCCTTCTTACTGAAATTGCAGTATTAGTTTCGGCACCCCTCATAAATTAGTCGACAAATTTGATTCTGGGGTATTATTATTTGACATGTTGAGGCAAACCTGAATTTGGTATAGACTTGTATTATATTAACTTTAATGTGTATCAAGCGTTTTCTTTTTCATACTAATTTTCTCGATTTACTTTTGTGTATGGTGTCTTTTTTATTTATTTATTTATTTTCTTTCTTTTTCTATTTATTTGTTCCTTGTAGCTTTAAGTTTATGACCTATTGAAGCCTTCATAAATTGCTTATCTTGAGAGCTTTATGATACAAACAGGTCAGATTCATTTTTGAAGTACTTAAGAAATTGTTGCGGGAATCCCTTTGAAATGTATTTATGGAAGGATGAGTCAAGGAGAAACGGGCAGCGATATACTCTCAATTTTGTGAGAAGGCTTCAGTTTTGTTTGCCACTGATGTTGCTTCAAGAGGGATTGATTTCAACAAAGACTGTAATGTGGTAACCAATGTTCGAATCTCAAGTGCATTTTAATAACGACGAAGAACTAGTTACGTAGGTTGTAGTACTAGTTATGTATCAATGTCGCATGACATTTTGTATTTTCTTCGATTGCTTATGAGTATTCTGTAATATATATATTTTTTTGCGATGTAGTTTTCTTAAGCATTAATGTGTATTACCAAAATGATTGCCTTAATTTTGCTTTGAGTTGTTAATGTGCATGTTTCAATCTCAATATTAGATTACATAAGATTACATACATGATATCTCCAAAGAATAAGCTTTGAATTGGATTAAAAGGGGGAAAGTAAAATAAGACAGTAAAATAAGAAACTGACTTGTAAATCAAAAAAGTAAAATTCATTTTACAATTGCACATATTAAGTACTAATGGTACAGATACAAATAGCGATGCCAAAATAAGCCCTATATAATTGGCGAAATAAAACTTGATTCAATTAAAATGGGGCCACTACTATGATCTAAATGTTGTCGTTGAGGAGCTGGCGGAACCTCGGGAGAACCATCCAGGATATTACTATGACTTGGTGTTGGACTTTTATACCTTTTGAGTAATTCGATTGTGCCTGCATGTGCAACGTAACAAGCTAAAAATCTTTTCTACCTCTTTGAGGAAACCGGCTCCAAAAGCACCAGTGACCTTCAACGAACCTTTCAATCTTTCGTTGAATACCGCCAAGTTCGAAAACACATCCGGGTTCCTCAAAAATCACAATATGTACTCTATCTTCACCATCTTTTCCATGTGCCCACTGCACATTTTGACTCCCAAAAGATTCATTTCCAACATCATCATTATCATCAGTGAAGCTCACTTCGCTACCCAAATCATCATTTAAAATGACATTGGGTCATCAGAACGTAATTTGGAGAGGGAAAAAATTGAAAAAAAAAAGCTAACTGTAAGCAAAAATATCTACCTTAACTTTGATTTTTTCAATAATACATTTTGTAAAAGAGATGGCAACGTGTGCTTTTAAAAAGCCTTCAAATGATGATTGTAAAAACTTTAAAATGCTTTCTACTTTGTTCGTCATTATGTAGCTGATCATGAACAGATCACAACTTGCAATAAAACAAATCTGCAATACCATCAAAATTAGAGTAGAAAAACCTTAATCAATGTACATACAAAAAGAAACTTGCGTTAACACACATATTATTCAACATAAAGGGATAGAAATCACACAATTTTGAAGACCAAAAAATGTGATAAAGAATAAAAAGATAGAGTTGGATTGGAAAAAAAAAATTCTATTCTTCCCACACAAGATAAAACAAGGAGGATGTCGGACCTATCAATGGACTGCCGGATATGGGGATCGGACTTCACTGCCGGAGCTGTACGGCCGCCGGAGATGAGATCGGACTTTCTCACCTGGTTTCTCACCTTTCTTGGCGGTAGTGGAAGATGGGATAAATGGTTTTGGCACCTTCCAAAGAAGGTGGGAGACGCCGGACGTGCGGAGACCGGAGCTAAGCGGCTGCTGGAGCCTGTCTTCCGATTTGGAAAAATCGATTTATGGATAGAGAGAGAACCGAGAATTTAGGGAAATTTTGAGAGAAATTAATGGGAGAGAGAGAGAGAGAGAGAGAGAGAGAGAGAGAGAGAGAGAGAGAG